AAGAGTGTTCTGTGGCTGCTGCATCCATCCTTGTTTTTATGACAAGAATCTCAGAAGAGTAAAAGGCCAAGTTCACACGCTCTTCTCCCTACTTTGTGTGTCAGGCACTGTGTGAACCAGTCACGCCCATGGCCTGTATGAATAGAGGGTGGCCTCACATGACCTTTCCCCACCTCAGTAAATTGAGAGGAGGTAGGGATTTCCAAAACCAACCCATGTGGCACATGACGTGCTCTTACACTGCCTTAGATTTCCAGTTGTGAGGAACGTGTGTGTCCTTGGTTCCTTCTACAGGGGCGAGACACTGCTTAGCCAGCTGAATGTGTAAACCAACAAAAGTTTCGTAGCAACAGTCAATTCCTACCACAATAAAATCTGGTCTAAAATGCATATTTTAAGATGTAATCCAAGGGAGAAAATTCAGTGTTCATTCTGCATTAAATTTCAAAGCCTTGGTGCTACATCTGAGAAGGAATATTAACTTTACTGGTAGTATTTCTTGGCTCTTAGGTCTGTGACTATTCTACTAGGTAGAGCATTTATTGTTTGTAACGAAGCAAAAGATTGTTCAAAGGGCTTTTAAAAAAATAATGTGTCCTGAGTGCAGTAAATGTTCAAGAAGAAGAAATGAGAGGAAAGGCCGCCACTGCCATTAGGACAGCATCCTGTCTGCCATTCAAAGAACCTTGTTCCTCTGCATGTGCAAAGGGGGAAGGGCTTGTGGAAGTCCTCTGTGCCTTAAAGACAGCCACCTTGGGGGATCCCCTCTGAACATCCGAGCTAGTTTTTCCATGGAAGAACAATGGATGGAAGAGGGCTGCGAGTTGACCTTTGGATCTCTGTTACTGTATGGTATAAATTGGGCATATGGTACAACAGTTTTGTAAAGCTCCAGATTCTTGTCATACAAAGGCTGATAATGACTTTAGAGGCCCACAGCTTGATGCTGAAAATATCATTTGTCTTTATTTTGTAACTTATATGGCGCACTTATTTAAAAGGGGGAGAGGGAGAGACAGAACTTTTGCTCAGTTATTTCTGTCAGCGGTTCGGTTTCCGTAGAGGATTTCTTCTGATGGAGAAAGGATTTCAGTCCATGGAGCAGGACTGTCACGTCTCCTCCCTCTCCCAAAATGCCCCCCAAATGGTGCTTCCAGAGGAAAACCCGACCTGGAATAGCTCAAAGGGGGCACTTGGAGACCTGCAGTGTGTGTGTGTGGGGGGGGGGAATCAGCAGAAATCCAGTATGAGCAGAAGTGCTCTTGTGTGAATGCTTAGGATCCGACCAAAAGTCATCTACTATATGAGAAATGAGGTAAATTAGAAATCTTTATATAGCCTTAAGTTATTTAATGGTGCCATTCTAAGCAGAGTTATACTCTCCTAAGCCCATTCATTTCACTGGATTTAGAAGACTATAACTCTGTTTAGGATGACACTCTTATTATTTCAACGGAAGTGCACACTAATAGCAAAACAAATCGTCTGAGGGTTCCTTCTCCTATTTTTCCAGTGCAGAAGTGAATATGCATGTTGTGAAAAGAATATAAAATGTAATGTGAGAATAGAATCTGAGGTGTTTGTTTTCTTTCCCATACATAGACCAGGAAGCCAGTCTGGAGTTAAGCTTCATTTCTCAGATAAATCCTGTGTCCCTGTTATATTTTACATGCTTTTTCATGAGCATTGATCTAGACTGATGCAGAAAATAGTAAAGATGTCTTTTCACCTTGAAAGAAAGTTTTAGTGCTTAGGTCACCAGGCCCAGATTCTGAAAGAAGGGAGGATGCCTGTTATTCTGCTGCATGTGATCAATCACAGCTTAATTTAATTTTTTACTAACACTACCACCACCACCACCACTTCAGAAGGCTGGCATTTTCTTTGTGTGCTTTTTCACATATAATAGTTTGAGGTCTTGAACTACACTGACAGGCTGGTAGGCACTGCTGGAGGCAAAAAGTATAGATTTTAGACAGCTACATGAAAAATCTTTTAAATAAACACCGTATTAAACACTGGACAGCTTTAACAATTGCAGTTACTTAGGTATGTAAATTTTGGGATATTTATAGTTCAAATATTTGTTTTTTCATGCAGAAAATGTATTTAAGATTATCAAAAGGATAAATGTACACACAACGAAGACGCACATTAATGCACATTCACAACTGTAAGTTGGCTGTTGAGGACAGACCCTGAATGGAAAAATGGAGCCCAAGAAGCAAACCTACACACAGCCAGAGTTTAGGGATGCTCAGATTTCACTACAAGCATGTTTGACAGTAGAACTTACTGTGTTCAAAGGTGCTGATCTTATGTGAGTCAATCACCCAAGCTGTTCAGTTCATGCCAAACAGCCGCAAACACCTACTAAACTGATTTGCGTCAGGTCTTCACAAAACTGCAAGCACAAAGATGCTGCTGATTCAAACTGATCAGCCGCCATTAGTGTCACTAGTAAGGACTACTGAGACAAACACAGAACAGTAGGATGTAACACACCTTTTATATATGACATTTATATCTGAGATCATGCATTTTATTAATGTATTAAATTTATTGATTAAAACATTTATATCCTGCCTCTCCTCTTGGTTTAAGGCAGTTTACAATGCATGCATGAAAACTCAATTGCACTGCAGGAAGGAATATTCTGAAGCAACCTGGCAAACACCCATGAACAGATTGATGAACTATCAGACTTATTGCCGAAAAGTTATGTCCCTGTTTGCGACCGGCAGACAAGAATGTGTGCCAGACTATTGGGTGTTCAAACCTCCCTACCAGAGACAAAAACATATTTTTGGTTGCAATAGCATTTTTTTTAAATTTTGGAAAACTAAAGCTTGCTGACTTTATGTTTGGCAAGAAAGGGTAAACTAGTTTTCCGCTTTCTTCTCTCAGCAGCTCTTCGTGCACATTTTGGCATTTGAAACAGGTGTTGGGTTCCAGGCCTTGGCCACTGTGTGCCAGGGTCTGATTTGGTAGAAGTCCCTTTGCATGGCCTCAGAGGGGCAGGGGCTGAGCACCACCCTATTCTTCCTCTTCTCCCCTTGCTCTACTCCCTTTTCAGCTGGGAGACAGAGTTGGTATGTCATCCTCAGTCTCCTTCTCCAAGTATTTTAAAGTCCCATGCCCAGGGGCCTCTCTCTATTAAGAAGCCCCCTGGGGGTGTTGACAAGCCCACAAAGGACCAATAATGCCCACAGAGCAATCTCTTCCCTGCTGTTCTGCTTTCCCAGCCCCAGAGTGGCGGTACCAGATAGCGAATTGTCAGATGATTGGCTGCTAAAGGGTCAGTTGTTAAAGACTGTTATAGAGTCAGTTGTCAGTTGTTATTGATCAGCTGGCTGGCATGTGGATGTTTACTGAGTTTACTGAGTGCATCTGTAGCGCTATTGGGTGTGGTGGATACCAGTTTTGATGCCATGGAATGCCAAGAAGGCATCATGTTGTCTGTTGTTGTCCCCCCACCTCCCAGATGGCATATGCAAATGCAACTCTGGTGTTTGGACTGGACTGAGCAAACATGGGTGCAATACCTGTCTACACGCACAATTTCCTATCCAGCTAGGAATATTTAGCTGGAAGCCACTTCTGCAAGTAAATAGCCCTTAGCTTTATCAAGACAGAATCTATAGAGACCGAAGCAATGCTTGAATACCTGCAGCTGCCTATATAGTTTGCCCTACATAGTTTAAAATTGCTAGGGGTTACTTCTAATTGAGCTGCAGTGGCTCAAGTGGTTAAGACGCTGAACTGCAGGCTGTGGAAGGTCAGTAGTTCAGCAGTTCGAGACCCGGGTGCCGCATGATGGAGTGAGCTCCCATCTCTAGTTCAAGCTCCTGCCAACCTAGCAGTTCGAAAGCAAGAAATTGCAAGTAGATAAATAGGTACCACTTCGGTGGGAAGGTAACAGCGTTCCGTGCACCTTGGTGTTTAGTCATGCTGGCCACATGACCACGGAAACGTCTTCAGACAGCGCTGGCTCTTCGGCTTTGAAACGGAGATGAGCACCGCAACCCTAGAGTCGGATTCGACTGGCTTTCGAGCAAGGGAACCTTTACCTTTACCTACTTCTAATTAATCTTTAAAAATTATCGTAGTACAAGTTAAGTTTAGAGAGGTACAATAGATGGTGCCAAATTAGTAGACCAGTTTTGGCATTATATTGATAAAGTACTGATCCTTAAGTAGCTCTACTAGTATCTTCAAGGAAAACATTTTAATTTGAATTCCGCATATCCGGAGGCTTATTTTTCTAGCTCTGTCTTCATTTATTCTGTTTATATTCTTAGCTATTGAATTCTATTAAAGGTTATAATATTATTTCACTAGTCTCATTACTGAGTCTGTTGAGGTAGTTACAATTAGGCATTGGTCCTGATCAGACGGGTCTTTAGATCTGTGCTAGGCACGAGTGCCTGGCGGATTTAAAGGGAATGATCAGACGGCGACATCTGGGAAAAGGGCCGCTTCTGTGAACAACATTCAGCCCCACCAGAGAGCTATACTTAATAGATAACAGTTTCCGTCCAGAGCAAATGCTGGCTGACAGGCCAGTGGCGGACTTTCCTCTGTCTGATCGTTTCAGCGCGCAATCCTCCCGTCAGGATGGTCTGACTCCAGACCATCCCGAAAGGCCATCATTAAAAAAACCTCTTAATGATATGCACGTAAACGCGCAACAGCTACAGAGCTCCACTGAAATGTTCTGGACAATTTCATGTTTCTGAAGGGCCCGTGAAATTTATGAACTGTGTTGATTGAAATGGTACCTAGAGGGAGGTACCGCTGGCGGTGCTTTAACTATTCAATTTTGTGCATGCATGGAAAAACAAGTACACGTTGAGGCGCAGATGCGCATGCGAACCCCGCCCCCCGACCATGCGGCTCCTTCAGGTGGACGCCATCTAGACAATCCACCGCGGAGTACGTGCATGGTAAGGGGAGCTGTCTGGTCGTGCAAC